CACAAGCCTCTCCCACCACCCATACATTATTTATATACAGATGTGAAAGCACGGTTCATCACAGCAATACTCTATACCCAGGCTGTCTTTGCAGAAGTATGTTGGAAAATACTCGCAGCCATTCAACTAGAAGAATGAGGACTGTTGGCAGAAAGGAATTACTGCTGGTGACCGCTCCGGATTGAGGGAGAGTACTGCAGTAAAAGCTACTTGTTTAGAATTTACTATTCCTTGACTAGAAAGGAAAAAAACTGCACCTTAGTCGAGACGCCAAAGAAAATGTAGCTTAAAACCCATTCTTAGAGGATTGGAAAATGAGAAGAGATGTCTATACTCTAGTTTCTGGGTTTGTCGAACCCTACTTGGATCGAAATCATGTCTGTGAGACTGTATAACATGCACCACCTCTGTGCCATCTGACTGCAAAGCCCACATAAATCAGTGCCTCAGGTTAACATGCAGTTATGCATTTCCACCAGTGCAAACCCAGACATACAGTGAGATGAATACAGAATGTGCTGGTGATCAGTTTCTGTGGTGGAATACTTACACAATAATATTATTGATGGGGATGTGAATTAGTTTTACAAAGAAGCCAATAAATCCCATAATTGCAAATCCAATTGCCGTTGCCATTGCGATTTTCTGGAATTCTGCAAATAAAATGAATGCGTTAATGGCCACATCACATATGAGAAGCAAGATTGAAACCAAAGGACTTAAGTTACCCATATGCACAGTATAATTGTCACATGGTCCAAATAATTCCAATGCAAATGTAAAACAACCCACCAAAAGAATCATACACAGGTACACCTCAAAAGCTCATCAGTGATGATGCATATTAAACATAGTGGAAAGTATTGGGGTAACTTGACAACAGAGATGAACCAGAAGAGTATGGAATATTCTTTTCATGATCTGATTTAACAACCACTGTGCATAAAACCTGTAGAAAGCTTCTAAATGTTTACCAAATCGTTTCTTCCAGTGGTTTCACTTTGCAGGGAAAAAAAAGGGGACTGTTACAGAGCAACTCCAACATGATTTCTGTTACCCGATGTCTTAGGGTTACCTAGGGGTATTATGAAAAGGATTTTTAATTATTTCATCACTGCTCCCAGGGTGGTCAGTGCTCACCTCTGTTCTGGCTTGTGGACTGTCCCTCTGTGCCCTCACATATAAAAACACAGGGATATGGGCCCTGCATTGTACATGTCAGGGGGGGTCGGGGGAGAGGCTGTGGGCGCCAGTCATGAAGTAAAAGCTCATCACACAGGTCTTCCAGGCAATAATGAGCAGTTGACCCCTTGAAAAGGCAGGGGCAGCTCCACTGCAAGGGGATATTTTTTTTTCTGGAGATAGGCTTTAAAGTCCACATGGAACACATAGCCTATCTGGAAGTACGCAATCATAGTCGTTTGATGAACATACTGCAAATTACTAGAGGTGCACCGAAATGGAAATTTTAAAACCGAAACAAAACCGAAATTAAAAAAAAAATGTCAGGCCGAAACCGATACCAAAATTGTTTATTTTTTCAAATTTTTTGATACATTTTATTTTTATAAACTTAATTTTTTTATATTTATTAATTCATTTTTTTATTAAATATTTGTATCTTTTACTTTACTTTTAGGGGCTTCACTGGTCCAATCAGGTAGTTAGGCACGCATTCCCAGCGCAGTGATTTCTGTGATAAACTGCAGATAAGCAAAGCCAAAGCTCCAGGTATGCATACTTTCTTCTGGTCAACGAATCAAAGTACTGAAGTCATTGAAACAGGATGACAGCCAGGGAATTAGTACTTTCGGGAGGGAAGTCGGCAGTACAGGTTTCATTTAACCACTTGAAGACCGGGGTGTTTCCCCCCTTCCTGGCCAGGCCATTTTTCAGTATTCAGCGTTGCGGTACTTTGGCTGACGTTTATTCCGTCATGCAATGCTGTACTGATACAATTTCATACCATTTTTTGGGGACACAGAGCTTTCTTTTGGTGGTATTTAATCACCGCTGGGGTTTTTATTTTTTACTATAAAACAAAAAAAGTACCCTAAATTTTGAAAAAAAAACATGTTTCCCTATAAAATGTTATAAAACATTTATTTTCACCCCAATTTTTTGGTATAATATAAAAGACGGGGTCACGTCGGGTAAATAGACACGAAACATGTCAACCTTTAAAATTGCACGCGCCTGCGAAATCGCAGAAAACGACCTCATCCAAAATTGGCCATAGGCGACACTTTAAACGTTTTTACCGCTCATCAGTTTAGCGTTATCAGTGATTGATGGCCCTAAAATTATTGCTCTCACTCCGACGTTCGCGGCGATATGTAACATGTGCTGCAAAATGGGCGCAATCGTCGTTTTCGTACACAGGCGCACCCGACGCGTGTTTGCATGTGTATGTAGGGGGGGCAGGGGACTTTAAAACATTTTTTGTGTTATTTTTTTTAATTATTATTTGTGAATATTTTTTTTAGCTTCTTTATTTTTTTTAATGCTGTAATTTTTTTTTTACACTTTTTTTTGGGGGGGGAGGCCGCACACCCGCAAGCGATCGGGCGTCTCTAGAGACGCCTGATCGCTTGTATGTAAACAGCCATCGCTGGCTGTTTACATGCTCACAGTTTTCCCTCTCGTGTGCCCGCTGAGTGCCACACACGAGAGGGGCAGGACGTCTTAAGACGCCCTCCCGCTCCTAGCAGACTCCGGTCCCGCCGTTCACAAACGGCCATGGACGGAAGTTGGTTAACCACTCGCCACCTATAATCTTTATATTACCATTCCTCAGTATGAGGCCTCATGCTGACAATACGTTAATAAACTTCTAAATCATGAAACCGACCTGACAAATTTGCACGGGTATGATTGCATTAGAGTGCTGCATCATCTTTTTAACTGTCCAATGAGGGATGGCAGGTAAGTAAGAAGGAGAACTTCAGAAGCCATCTTGTCCCACTATATGTATACAAATGATGCCTTCACATCAAAGTATAAAGTATATGGGGAATATAACAGACATTCTGGTGTACCAATTCCTTGGAGTTCTACTTAAATTACTGATCAAATTTGCCTAAAATTAATTAAAGAAGAACTCCAGGAGACAGGTTTCAGAGAGCACAGTGGCAACCAGCTAGCTCAAAGGATTGGGTGATTTTCCTCCCTATACCAAAACTACCACGTAACCCTTGCAGTGCGGGGGTAGCAACACTGCAAGTGTTAATTAAAAAAAAAATGTCCCTGGGAGTCCCGCTTAAAATATGCTCCTTACAATATAACCACCACCCCCAATCTAGCTTACCATTACCTACGATTTTCTAGAATGCATCATACTTTAATACCACAGCCCTTACGTTCAAACTTTTGAGTCAAATCCCATTTCGGTAGCCCAAGGGGAGAAGAAGAGGAGAAAAAAAAAAGTCCAGTTTTTCAGAACTAGATATCCAATTAGGTTTGCCTTCCTTACCTTTCCGATCCGGCTTAGTACACCTCTTGACAAGTCTGATAGAATCTTTCACAAACTGACGGCTGGGCTCGACAAACTGCATTACCTGATCCATGGTGTCTGCAAAAGAAAAAAACAAAATGAGGTAAAAATTAGGGCTGGTAATGATTAAAATTTTTGTGTTCGATTAATCGATTAATTATAACGTCCCCATCCCATACAACCACCCTTTAACCCATACCACCTCTAACTAATTGCTGGGTTACAGGTACATACTTCTGGCCTTCTGTAGTTGTTTTTGACTAGTTTAACTGGCTATTTTTTTTAGTTTAAAAAGTATATTTTCACATTCTAGATAGAGTATGAAAAGAAGTATCTTTTCACATTTTTTTTATTGCCTTTCTTACCCAATTTGGGAATTTTTGTTTTCACTTTCTGCCCTATAGACACAAAGGAAATAAGAAGTGAGGGAAATCACGTTTTAGATGTCACCAGAACAAGTGTACCTGCTGGACAATTTCTACTCTATTAATGTGCTGCTGACAACTTTTGTATTTCCTATCTCTTTCCGTTTCAGTGACAGTAGTCATCATGACAAAGTTTAAAAAAAAAAAACCTACCTAAAGGTCATGTGACACTTCTGAATCTTCTCTTAGTCTCCGTCGTCTAACAATGGGAAGGGGGGGAGGAGTCCGGTGACGTCACGGACATCGACATCACCGGACTCCTCTTCCCTTGTTAGCCAGCAAAGCAACTTGCGGAAGGGGGGAGAAGTCCGGTGACGTTGATGTCCGTGACGTCACCGGACCTGCGACGGGACTCCCGGAAGCCGGCGGAGAGGCGAGTACCGATCAAATTTTTTTTAATCGATCAAAGAAATTAACGATTAATCGAGGAATTAATCGTTAATTTCTGCAGCCCTAGTAAAAATACATTTAAACTATATCGGAAAAATGATGCCATATAAAATGTTATGCCCAGCTATTTCATTCTACCTTGCAAAGCCTGGGTACCTGGCTGGACCACAAATGACCACCAGAACATAGCATTTAGAGTAGAGGTGCACCGAAATGGAAATTTCAAAACCGAAATAAAAAATCTATCTATCTATCTAATATATCTAAGGGAAATATTTGTGGTCTAAACAGACCCCTGATATTTCCCTTTTAAAATAGAAAAAGAGATTGAGGACACAAAGTTCTCAATCTCTCATTCTGCAGCCCCTGTTCTAAATGAACAGGAATCCTCTATACTGAGTGTTCCTGTTCATTGATAACATGAGAACAGAGTGTGTTTACTATAACCACAATCATGAATGAACAGGAGGTGATGTAGATCACTCCCATTCATACATAATTGAGGACATAGTAAAGATACCATGTCCTCAATTATCTACAAACACTTGGCGATCACTGAGTGTTTGCACTTGTCTCCTTCCTGACAGCTGTCACAGGAGGCTGAGCGAGCGGTGCAGGGAGGAGAGCTCAGCCTCCTGTGACAGTGCGGGCTGTCTCCGCCTACACACCGCTCTGCCAGACTGATAGGAGGCTGAGCAGTGTGGGAGGAGATGCCAGCCGCTCACAGCATTCACCTCCCGCAGCACTCACACGGCTGTCACACTTTCTCTCCTCCCCGCTGGGACACAGAGCAGTGCCCAGCGGGAGGAGAGAATTAATGGGTGCACTGCTGTATTGGCCATGCATGCCCCTCTTTGGCGATACACAGATCTGGCAGAAAAGCTTGGCCCAGAAAGAAAAACAATTTGTCAATGCAGGAAGCACTCTTAGGGTGTTTTGGCTTCTGCTGGCAGGGGCTTATCCTCTGAGGCCTATACTTGAGCCAAAAAAGGGAAGGGCTCAGAGCCTGCCACCCGAGACCATGCTGCACCCCCCTGGAGAGAGACCCATTGGGAGGTGCATAAAGTAAGCCAACTACCCCTTGCCCCACTGAAGTAGGCCCCCAGAGCAAGAAGGGTACAGGTAGGGGGACTTGTCAACTGTAGACCCGCCTACATTGGAGCTGGCGCTTTGAACCCCCAGAATGGGAGAAGCAGCCTGTGATGGAGTCCAACGATGTGCATCACCCTTCCCGTTTGGACCCACGCTCCTGCCCCACTCCTGGAGCCCCTGCTTGCCGATGTGGATTGTCGGCAAGGCACAGTATTCATGTCCTGCTGTGATCCAGCTCTACTGCCGCCAGAGAGCCCATCAGTCAATTCCTTTAGCAGGACACTCCATCTGGGAGACACTACGCCAGCGAGGATGGTTGCCATCTCCTTCCATTATCGAGGGGAACCTCTGGGCAAACATTTTTTGTAAAGACTCTGGGGGAATCAGTCCTGGGAAAAGCTGTGTGGGCAAATCAAGACAATCCCCTGCTCTTCACTTCTACAAGCTAGTAGATGAACAGTTGCTGGAGACTTTGGTGTCCTGTGTGATCTTGTACTGGACAGGAAGTTTAGGGAAGCAGAGCATGTTGGAGGCAGCTGTTCTGAATAGGGTTGCACCGATACATCAGCCGCGGAAACATACCGGCTGAAAATGGCACTTTTGGCAAAATGTCGAAAGTGAAATTTTTTGGCCTAAATATCGGTGCATCCGTGATTTCGGCATCTCTCCTCCCACACTGCTCAGCCTCCCGTCACATATCAGGAGAGCGGCGGTGTGGGGGCGGAGACAGCCATTACTGTCACAGGCGGCTGAGCTCTCCTGCACCGCTCGCTCAGCCTCCTGTGACAGCGTGTCAGGATGGAGAGCGGTGTGTGGGTGGAGACAGCTGTCATTGCTGTCACAGGAGGCTGAGCTCTTTACCCGCACCGCCTTGCTCAGCCTGCTCTAACAGCTGTCAGGAAGGAGAGCGGATACAAACACTCAGTGATCGCCGAGTGTTTGTAGATAATTGAGACCATAGTATGGTTACTATATCCTCAATTATGAATGAATGGGAAGTGATCTACATCACCTCCTGTTCCATTCATGATTGTGGTTGCAGTAACCATACTATGTGCACAAGTTATTAATAAACAGGAACACGGAGTAGAGGATTGCTGTTCCTTTATAATGAGAAAAAGAGATTGAGTACTCTGTGTCCTCAATCTCTTTTTCTATTTTAAAAAGGGAAATATCAGGGGTCTGTTAAGATCCCTGATATTTCCCAGAAGCCCCTAAAAGTAAAAATATTTAAGAAATAAAAAAAAGTTTATAAAAAATAAGATTTAATATTTTTAGAAATAAATAAAAAAGTTAGAATAAAAACATTCGCCCTGACTTTTATCATACAGCTGCATCACTTCAAGAGTAACCATCTTTCTGTAGCACCAGGCCAAACAATGGAGGAGGGACAAGTGTCCCCATTGGAAAACTTCCCCTCTATTCCTGTTCCGGTAGCAACTCAAAGTTTTGGATTTACCCTCACTTTTCTTCCCCCTGGTGACATTGCCCGGACCAAAGGCTCTAACCCAGGGATGGCCAAACTCCGGCCCTCCAACTGTGGTGAAACTACAAATCCCATGAAGCATCTCTCTCCGGGAGTCATTTCTGTGAGAATCTTGCAAAGCCTCACGGGATTTGTAGTTCCACCACAGCTGGTGGGCCGCAGTTTGGCCATCCCTGCTCTAACCTCTCAACACTATATCCTAACCTAAAGGAACAACTTTGCTTTTTAACATTTAAAAATCCATCAGATTTCCTTTAGCTTCCTATTTCATAAACAGGAAGGGAGAGAAAATCTCAAAAAGGTGAGAATATCTCCTTGTTGACAGTGGTCACTAGAATCATTTCTGTTCTGGTGACTAATCAAAATTTTGGATTGTCTTTCAGCTCCTGTGACCATGGTCAAAGAGTGAATCGTCTAAATGGGGACAAAGGCGGCGATGGATACGGGTTGTAAACCTGCATCGCTATACGGTATATCAAATTTTAAAAAAGGAGACGTTTTTCAACGGTTAGTTCACCTATGCGGGGAAAAAAAAGCCCATGAAATCCAGAAGCTTCAGTAGGTACCAATAAACTAAGCAGCTTTTAATAACCTTCCTCCATACATGTAGGCCATTTGCCGCCGCACTGAAGCCTGGCTGAAAAACTCCCAATATCCTTCCTAGCTCCATCCTGTCCATCCAGGTTGAGCCGGCCATTGGACGCTCTGCCCCGACCATCACAGGAGAGAGAGGACCTGGACCCCGGGGGGAGAGGACCTGGACCCCGGGGGGAGAGGACCTGGACCCCGGGGGGAGAGGACCTGGACCCCGGGGGGAGAGGACCTGGACCCCGGGGGGAGAGGACCTGGACCCCGGGGGGAGAGGACCTGGACCCCGGGGGGAGAGGACCTGGACCCCGTATATTGTATATGTATATTGTAGATGCTTAGGAGCTCCCGATACAAATCCAGCCATTCGCTGTCTCAGCATAAAACCCTACACACCATCACTACACCTAGAATATGAGCCTACAACACCCCATACATAACCAAGGACACCCAACACGTATGTAAAAGGTAATAAACGGATGTACTATGAAGATCTGACGGAGATTCCAAAGCCGTGCAGATATCACCCGGTACAGCATACAGAAGGCTTAATGATACCAGTGCTATGTCACTTAACAAGCAGTAAAAAATACCGTCCCGGGCTGACTTATATTTACCGTTTTAATAGTGACCCCGCACAGACGTTCTTCTCTTCCCGGCCTCTGATCACTAGGACACGTCGCACTTCTCACAGCCTGACTTCTATACCACTGACGTCATCGGCTATCAGACCCGCCTCCTCCAATCATAGTAGAGGTCGTCTACGTGTACCAGGCCGCAGGAAACGCTAAGTAGACGCTCTATCCAGTTACCCTGCATCTCTGTAGTCCGGTGGGCGGAGACTTAAGTAGACGCTCTGGTATTTGTCTCTGCATCTCTGTAGTTGTGGTAGGCGGAAAGTCCACTTACGGAGTACGCTGAGCTGGCGGGTTTTTTTTTACTCTTTCATGCAACTTTATTGTTCCAGCTGGTGGCCCGTATAGCTAATGCTTACGTTTCGAGCACGGAAGTGTCTTGTCTTGGGCAGATTAGATATGGTTATCCAAAAAAGGACAGGGAGCGGAAGAGAAACAGATCACACATTTAGTAAAGATTCACATATTTGTCTATGGTTCCATTGACACCAGATGTGTTGGACTAGTTTGTCCAGACAAGGCACTACTTTTTTTCACTGCAGTGTGTTGCGACCCTATACACAGCATTGCAACATGCCGGGGTGAATAGAAGGAATGATATAAGGAATGCAGTGATATTTCAATAAAGTTTGTAAAAAAAAAGATAAACGGTGATGCGCTGAAATTAGCACAGTGCACAGCTTCCTCCAGAGTGCACACCAAAGCTAGTGCGATTGGACACTATATCTTATTTCAAAAATGTGTAATTCGTGGGTGAAAACAAAGTTGTCAGCTGTCATTCATATACAGGGACTGTCCCTCTTTTGGAATTAATTTCTTCTGTCCCTTTTTGTTCTCAGTTGTCCCTCTTATTGGTCTAATGTATAAACTTCTATAAAAAAAAAATATTATTTAACTACCAAAAGTGTTATACTGCACTAAACCTTCCATCCATCATAAAAATGATGACATTAGTCACTGTGAGAAGCCGATAAAAAGGTAATGTTAAAAAAAGAAGCCCTCATGGGTATAACCAATCACATTTATATATCCGGTGCGGAAGGGGTGTGTCCCTAACTACATTGTGCTATAAGCTAATCTTAAAGTGCCCATACACCTTACGAATGTCGGCCGATTTTCGTTTGCGATCGTGTCCGATATTCGCAAGGTTTCCGGGCAGTGTGCAACCGCAAATACTGTACAATCGTATGCCTTTTGACTTCCCAGCAGGTTAGAAAACTTCTGTCAAATAGTATGATTTTCACAAGGTTGGTGTTTTTCCTTACATCAAAAATCATACAGTTAATACTGCTCATGCGCAAACAAAAATCCGTGCGGTCAATTAACGAAAATCATCCAGGTGATTTCTGCTTAAGACCGCTAATTGAACTGTGCGATGGTCGGGGCAGGATGGGGCCGCCGTATGAAAATCGTACGACAGTCCGATCATCGGACGATTGCAAGGTGTGTGGGCACCTTTAGAATGTAGGGAGGCAATGGTAAAAGTTGTGTCAATCTAGTGTGAAAGCATTTATAAATAGACCCCTTAGTTTACTGCTGTGTTTGCACTAAAAATTAATAAACAATTAGAGATGCACCAATACCGATACTAGTATCGATATCGGTGCCGATACCGAGTATTTGGCCGAGTACTCGTACTCGGCCAAATGCTCCGATGCCTAGCCCGATACTTCCTGTATCAGGAAACCGGGCAGCGTGTAATGACGCGCTGCCCGGTTTCCTGATTGGCCGGGAAACGGCAACATGCTCTCTCGTCACGTGTGACGAGCGAGCATGGGGCAGACTTCCCGTCATGGGGCAGACTTCCCGGCAGAGGCGTAACTAGAAATCCCAGGGCCCCTTAGCAAAACAAAACCCCCCGCCCCCATTTTAATAGAAATGCGCGGATCAGCACATTTTTGAGAGTGTTTAATTGCGTTTCAGCGCTGGAACGCGACTAAAAACAGCCAAATATCCTCTTTCAAAAATCGTGAGGAAAGCACGGTGATACGCTTCGGCCCTGGCTGGAGAGGCCCTGGGGGTGACAGGCTGGACATGCCGAGGTAAGAGGGGACTTTCTTGTTAATCAGGGAAGCCGGGTGGCGAGTCTTTACACGCTGCCCGGCTTCACGGCTAATCAGGAAGGCAAGTGGCGAGTCAATACACGCCACCTGGCTTCCTGAATGGGACTTCTGGTGCTCGGTATCACCGAGTACTGAAAAAAAACTATCGGTACCAAAATAACGGTATCGGTCCATTCCTATAAATATTAATAAATATAATTAATAAACAATAAAAAATAATAGTGTTTCGATAGCTGGAAATAAAATTCACAATGCCCAGGTTGCTGCAGTTGGTCTGTTACCAAAGCTGGTAACTGGACTCAAGTCTTGCAATAATTTACACTTCTTAAGGGCTTGTTTCCACCATCACCAGACCAGAACCAGGCCATACATTTTTTTAATCACACCAGAAATGCATCCTTATGTTTCCCTATGTTTTTTTGGGCTGTAGTTCCCACCATTGCAGTCAGTGCATTCAAAAAAAGTACTGCAGGCACCATGTTTTCTGGTTTGGAACGCACTGGAACATGTCAAAAACGCCTACGAACGCATCGGAACACGCTGGCACACTTTTGTTGACCTAATCAACAGTGGACACTTCCTTATGAAAAAGGGGCGTTTTCAGCTATACATTGCTGACCTTGACATTGTCCTCTGTGTTCTATCCAACATGGTGGACACACATATTGACACTG